ATCCTTGTGGGGTGGTACGGGACGCGACTGGGAGCACAACGTAAGTAGCATCCTCGCAAATTTCCCAGACGAGCCAATCAATCCCCTCGGAGAAGACGAAGACATGCGGATCTTCCAATAAGATAGTTGGACCCATCGAAGCGCGGTGGTTCAGCCGTGGATCACGGACCGATTAAGGTGGAATGATCCTTAAGCGGCTCGATACCAATTGAAGGACCGAAAGCGGCGATCGAGGGGGGGTGAATGGGAGCCACAAAATTTCTTTCAAACTTTCTCTTGATCCCAAAATCACCGCCCAACTTACAAATCAAAACACCGTGATGTCCACGACCCAAATAAGTGGGTGGATGTTCCCTAGGAACATGCGGGACATCACAAAGCCAACACAACAAATAGAAATTCAATCGGAGCTCGAAGCAACAAGTTACGGACCAAAGCGTGTGCTCGGCAAATAGACTAATCAGCAGCACCAGCACTTTGAACCCTTTCTAGATCAGGACCGAGCACATGCTCTCTCTGTAGTCCTATACCGGTGGATCACCTTAGTTCACGATGAGAACATTGTAGCAAGGAACTGCACTTGCTAAGCGGCGAAATCATTCGCACATGAACTAAACAAGCTAAAGAATCAAGTAATCATTAGCCCTCAGAAGCTTGAAAGTGACCACTCACAAATTTGGATACCAAATCACGTTCGTGTCTAGTACTTGGTGTAGCAATGAATTACTGCTGTTGTCAAACAACAATGAATGATCGCAAATGCTATCAGATGATGCTATTTGAACGATCTCGTCTTTGCCAGAGAACCAATTGCTTGACAAGAGAGAAATCGAGCTTGATGCAGGTGAGAATCGGATCTGCTGCCCTGAGTCCCGACCACTCTCGACTCGGGAAGCGGAACAACGAAGAGAACAGCGGCGGTGGGTCCGCTGCCACCGGTATCGCAAAATAGAAAAAGAGCGAATGAACTTGACACCAGAAATTGATGCACAGTAGAAAGCGGTTCCTCGCGATGGGAACGAAATGGATCACCGGAGATTATAGGCGAGCACAACTCACGGTGAGTGCGCACGGCACCAGAGTGTCGGCGTGGATTGTCTTGCTGCTGAACTCGCTGGTACCTCCCTTGCACCTGCTTCCTTGTGACGAGCAGAGAAGAACAACGGCAAGAAGTAAAGACGGACAGCCAAAAATCCGACGAAAAACGGATCAAATCAAAACAACTCGACCCCAAATTTTACATGACCAAATTGAACTAGCTACGAACAAATTCCCAAAGATCATCATCTCCAGGACCAACCCAAACTCCGGAAATATAAGATCATGGCCATGAACGAAAATGGGAAAAATAGCACTACATGAACACGAAGAATCACAGTCAAAATAGATGAATCCGAGAGACACGAGGAGGATTTGGGCCTCCATTCCCAAACTAAAACCAAGCAAAAAAAACCACCCACGAATTTCTCAGCTCTTGGACCTCTCTCAAGAGTAAGAAACCCTAAGTCTAAAAGGAGAAAAAAAAGAAAATGAAAGAGAGGTAAGGAGATGGGGCTCCCTCATCCTATTCTTGAGGCTATTACACATTCCCGGCTTTGCCCCTGGATACAAATGAGTTGAACCGCTAAGCCCAATGGCGTTGTTGTCCAACCGGTGTAATCTTGATCCGACGGCCACCACGCCTACTCACGGTAGCCGCCTCGACGCGAACTCCCGATGCCGCCACGTGCCGTCCGTCCCTCCTCGGAACCTCCGCCGGGTTTTGAGGCCCAAACCAGTAAACCGTCCATGGAGGTGGCGTACTTCATCTGGCGTTCCCCGCCATCCGGACGTGGTGTCACCACCGTCCTCGACCGCCGCCCGCCAAGTCCTCCCCGAGCCTCGCTCGACTCACGCGTCCGCCGTCTTGACCCGGTCAACACCGTCACTCCATGTCTTCTTGCACTTGTTGATGTTCCAAGTGTCAGCCACCGCGGCTAGTCGTCCGGCCTCACGGTCCCTCGGTCCAAGCCTCACGTCTGTCCTTCACCGCTCTCGGTTCGTCGGCACGGCACGTCCTCCTTGACCTTCACCTCGCCGTCAACTACCGCCTCCGTGCTCCACACCTACACACCACGAGCCAAGAGACATGCACACATAGCTTTCGCCATGGTAGAGTTAGTAACCGACTCAACCTATTCCGTGGATCACATTGACAATCACTCATCACAAAACGAACACACAAGGGTACTTGTCAACCTTGTGTTCGCAATTTGTATCTCCTATAGGGTGTAAAAAACAAGCCTCACTAGGGGATGATGAAAACCTCCTCTCCCACCTTCCCTATAAAATAGGGAGAGGGGAAAGGTGGAGACGGGGGCTAGTTTCTCGCTCTTTTTGGTTCTCTCTTTCTCTCCACTCCCGTATCTCTCATGTGTATTGTTCTACAGCTTCCACAATGGTGTAACACTCAGTTTCCTCTTCTAGCTCCACCACCTCTTTATCCTGTGGGTCTCCTGTGCGTGCAGGAATTACCAGCTGAGAGGCCAACCATGTCCCTGGTGCTCAGGATGTTGAGCGGTGATGTTACGGTTCCGTCTCAGAAGCAAGCTGCATTTTTTGTTGGGAGGGCTCCTCGTCTTCCTGCGGATGACAACAATACTGAATCAGGGAATCAATTAACGTACACGGATCTTCAGGGCAGATAGTCTCACTGTCTCAGGCTGCCGAAGTTTCACACTGTATATCGTTTTCCTATTACTAAGTTTGTATCAGCTCAGGCCCTCAGGCTCAGCTGACGGTTAACCCCGGCGGGCGAGATCACATTTGGGTTATGGCAAGCAACCATGCCAAGGCCGGGGCGTCCTTAGATTGTCGCGTGTCGTGGTGACCGAGAACGGCGCGATAGATAATGCCGCGCCTGGTCTGGGACCAGATCTAGCAGCCTGGCGTGGAAGACGTTCTAGGGCGCGCCGAGGGGACGTGCGCGACGCGTACGCCAGGTGCGGGCCGTTCGGCGTGTGCAAACGTTGTTCTTGCAGCTGCGGCGCTGCGCCAAGGGGGTTCAGCCCCGCGTCGCCGTCGGGGCTGGCGCATGAGGGATGCGTCATGCTGTAAGCACAAGCAATAGATAGTCAGATAGATGCAGAAGAACGAGAAGAATGCAGGATAGGATAGTTCGGAAGAGTAGCTTAGAACAGAGGAGTGCTTAGAAGGCAGGGTTTACACACCACGTTTCTCCAGCTGGAATGGGTCAAGCCCACTCTGGGCCCTGGGCCTTCGCTCCCGCGCGCTGCGCCGTGGGCTGACGTCGTGCACACCACCTTGGGCGACGTCGTTCACACTCGCGCGGTTGCGCCACGGTGTGATGTCGACGATGCAGAGCTGCTGACACATTTCAAAAGCGGAAAGTAAAAGGGAGTATCTCCTCAGCAGGTGACTGATGGAAAAGATAATCCATCAGTCACCTTCACAGCCGTCGCGTCGCGGCCGCCCGTCTCTCGGCAGCGTATCGCTGCCCAGCATGCATCCCAGATTCCCAGATTCCCGGCTCTCTGTCTCTGCCCAGTATGCAGCATCGCTGCCCAGTCTATGGGCGTGATCGGCCCGGCTGTAGCTATTTTTTATTTAAGAAAAATATTATATATTCTAGCTGATAAGCCGGCCGATAAATTCAAGCGAACGGACCCTATGTCACAGTCGCAGACCACGCCCCCACTCTGGGCCCGGTCTCTCTCACAAGCGCTGTCCAGCATGCAGTCTCTCAGGCAGGTGACTGATGGATTTACAAATTATCAGGCAACTGCGTTCGAGGATTTCTCAAAGTAAAAAGGTATATCTAAGGTGCTGCGAAAATTACAACTACTACGTAAAAACAACTGCATAAAGTGGTCAGCGGCAAGGGGACGACGACGGATGGCAAAATTCAAAGGCAAGACATTAAAATGCAGCAACTTACTTGAACCGGATGCCACAAATTACCCCTATGGTTATCTAACTTAGCTAGGTTGAATAATATTTTATACCTTGAACATCCATGTAATATGAACATTTGTTGGAGTGTAGTAGTGGCAAAATCGGTGCTGTAAATTTCTCTTTAATATCCAAGCAACATTTTTACCACACTTCGGATGCACTTATACGGTAGATTTTTTTTAGCAAACTTATACGGTAGTTAAATGGATGTCGATGGACCGTAACATTGCGGCTACTCTTGTCCGGTAGTAAAAATGGATGCTGGTGGGTCGTTCTAAACCGTGGCCCGGCCAACACTCTTTTGTTTTTCATGACCGACCGTGCCTTGCACGTATGGCCGACACTACTTTTGAGCTTATTTGCATGTGGCCATGAGTAAGTCACGGATTTACTTTCTTGACTTCCATCACACTGACACAAGAGAGTGCAAATGGAACGTTTTTTTGTATTCACATCGCTGCAAACTTGCAAACAAGTCGATGATTGACTGACATGCATGCATGTAAACGGGAAAAGAACCGCTGACTTTGCTGTACAGTACAATACTACTCTTTCATAAAAGTTCCCGTGACTCTTTCATAATAATTCAGCAACATGAATTCGCTACACGGGGAGAAGAGGAAAAAAAGTTTCTTGCTATAAAAGCAGGGCTTTCCTCCGTATTAAAAAAGAAGAGGCAAAAAAGTAACTAACTAAAGTAGCAACTATTTATATATATTTTTTGATCGGGTACAACTTGAACGCACACACAAACTCACACTCACATTCACACCACACACCCTATTTTTCAAGGTATAGACACTAGATCTTGATGAGTAGCGCCCCACTGGACAGTCCATTGGACCACAGGCACATTCACAACAACTATTTTATATGCCTTTACTGCTATTCCTGCAACTGCAATGCTACAAATTGTGTAGCAGTAATCACTAACCAATACGGTGATCCAATTCAAGTCTGAGATCAGAAATTGGCAACCGCGTGCAGGGGTTGCTGTTTGGCGCCCTTCCTGTGTCAGATTTCCACACCTGGACTTGCTACGTCGTCTACGTGAGATAGATGGAGTCGCCGTGTGCGCCAGACGCGTCCTGCGTCGCGAGAGGAGACGCGGCGGCACTGCTGTCCGGACGACGGGCCTGCGACGAGCTGCTGCTGCCGTTCGTCGTCAGCATCGCGACTACTTCAGCCATGGATGGCCTGTCGGCGGGCGACTGCTGCACGCAGAGAAGGCCGACCTGCACGCATCTCTCCAGCTGAAGGAGAATCTCCGGCTCCGGTTGGCCCACAGCTGAATCCAGAAGGTCCTCCTTGATTTTATGCTGGTTCCAAGATTCCTGGGCCTGCAAGAAATGCAGAGAGAATAATGCAGTTCAATTCATGGACAAAAGGGATCATCTTCTTGCAGAAACTCGCGGTGTTTTTAGCTGTTTGCTCACATGACAAAGGAGCTTTGGGGTGCTGCTGTTCCTTTTGCCACTGATGATCTCAATCAGGACGACTCCGAAGCTATACACGTCGCACTTCAGCGTCAGCTGCGGCCCTTGCGCTGTGTACTCTGGAGCCCTATACCCCCTTTTGCCAATATAAACAGTTCAGTAAGTTGAGGATTTGGCAATTGGCATTGAGAACAGAAAACGGAAGCATGCAGTGGATGTGAACAGAAAACAGAAAACAGAAGCAACTACATCATAGTTAAGTTCACTAATGTTATATATGCACGTAACCTAGTGATTCTACTGCACTTGAATTGAAACAGTAGCCGAGGGGGTCAGGTTTCAGTCATACTCTGTCTGTACTAGTGTCGGATTCGTCTGGCCATCGACGTAAACTTTTGCAGTGCCAAAATCTGCAATCTTAGCTCTCCAATTTTCATCCAAGAGGATATTTGATGGTTTCAGATCCCTGTGTATCACTTCCTGTCCATGCAGATAAGCAACGCCTTTGGCAACCCCTACAATTATCTCCAGCCTCCGCTCCCAATTCAACAAAGCACGGGCACGGTGGCTGGGATCTCTCGCTGTCAGCCACACACAGAGGAGATGAGCGCTTGGAAGTAGCTGAACATTGTGATCATACATCTATACGGATATCAATAATCTGTGCATTATAAATTTAAAGCATGCAAGTACCGAATATGTAAAGGTTCAAGCTCCTGTTCTCCATGTACTCGTAGACTAGTATCCGCTCATTTCCATCCTTGCAATAAGCAAGGAGCTGAGCAAGATTGTCATGCTTGAGCTCTGACATCAGTTGCACTTCTCTCATGAAAATTTCACCACCTTCATCGGTAAGATAAGATTGTGTGATCCTCTTTACAGCAACCTTTCTACCATCAGTTAAATTCCCCTGGTAATTGCACAATCATGTCAGCTATGAATGTCAGAACAGTAAAATACACTACTTCCAGTGCAAACTGCAAAGCAGGTGTGAAATACTCCTATATACAGTCAAGATGAAAATATTTTAGAGTTCTGTCCTTCAAGATGAAAGCTGTAGCTATGCTCATGCTTTGATTATTTATCTTGTCATATGAACAATACTAGTATACTAGCTATCGGAAGTATTCTCTGTCATTATAGCGTTTAGTAACATGAACACGGACCTCAAATACGGTGCTGAATCCTCCACGGCCAATGGCATTGTCTACAGAGAAATCATTTGTAGTCCTCCTCAAAGTAGACAGTTCAACAGAAGGCACGTTGAGAACAGGACTACGTTGTCCAACAGAAGGGACCAACGGAGGTCTGCGTAGTTCAGTAGAAGGTACACCCGAGGAGGCACTCTGAACAGCTGGAAAACTCAACAGTCAACACATATGTTAGCATGGTGTGTTGCCCTCTTATGGTAATCTGAAATGTTCAAAGTTAAAACAAACAATTGGGTCAGTAATTTTACCTGGGATTATAGGTTGCCGGCGCCTCCTCACAGGTACGACCAACAAAACAATAAGAACCACGGCAGCGACGGCGGCTGCGGAGGCACCGACAACTGGTGCAGTAGGGAATGGCCGCCGCCGCGGCGAGGGCGCCACCGGCAGCTCAGACTGGGCCAGCCTCAGGTACAGATCTTGCCCTTTGTCCACGTACCGAAGGTCGATGATGTCATCCGTCCACATCACGCAGCCGCTGCGGACGTCGCCACCGCGGATATCTGCGGCGGCGTAGGCCAAGCATGAGCAGTTGGCGAGGCACCTCGCCATGCAGTCCTCCACCGTGATGCTCATGTCCACCATCGCGTTGCGTGTGTCGGGAAGCTTCACTCCGTGGACCAACAGAAAACCGTCCGTCGTCGTCGTCGTGGTGCCACTGCCATTATTGGCACAGTCCAGCTTCACATTCCGCTTGCATCCGCCTGAGGTATCCCTCAAGGACCACGCCGGCGGCGACGCGGGCCTGAACCCCGTGAGGCAGCTGCAGAACGACGTCGACGCCGCGCCGGCGTCGCACAGCCCGAACGCCCCGCACTTGCCGTAGGCGTCGCAGAGGTCCCTCGGTCCCTGGAAGAAGGTCTGCCACGTCCGGGCGCCCGAGTCCCACACCAGGCGCTTGGCCATGCCGGTGTCGGTCAGCACGACACGTGTCAATGCGGCGCCGGGGTTGGAGGTGTAGCCGTAGGATATCTCCGCCGGGCTTGTCGTCACCTGGTACCAGATCAAATTCTTGTACGCCGACGCCTCCGGGACGCCGCTGAACCACCGGCCGTTCCATGGGCCAGTGCGGTAGGTCCTGACGTTGCCCTGCCACACGACAAGCTCGGGCAGCCCGCTGGTGTCCAGCGAGCGGCGGTAGGCCCCCGGCGACGGGTCGTCGGCTGAGCGCCACGACGTGAGGTACCACTCGGCGCCGGTCCACTTGTTCTTGCCCAGCTTCATGCCGGACAGCATGGTGTTCGACGGGTGATCGAACGACTGCCACAGGATGGCGCTGCTGCTGCTGCCTCCGTCGCGGACGACGAGGTTGCCGGAGTTGAGGAGCTGCGCCTCCGCCGATGACGAGGAGCTGGTGGAGTTCGATGACCATGTGACGTGGCCAGAGCCGTCTAGCAGCACAAGGCTTCCCATGTCTCTGACGACCAGCACGCCGGAGTTGCCGTTCACATGGCGGTCACCGTTTGCCACCCAGCAGACGGCGACACTGGACGCCGAGAACCAGATGCCGAGGTATCTCTTGGTTGACGCCCCGGGAGAGAAGAATCCCAAGGTGAATGTCCCGTCGGCTGAGACGAGCGTCTCGCCGTCGGTGATGTTCCGGCCCTTGCCGAGCGTGTCCGACACGTCGGCGGCGATGGCTATGGGACAAAGTAGCATAAACGAGAGGAGAAGGTGGATGAATATTGTATCCATGATGATGACTGAGGATTTGGGTTCAGCCGTTGCGCGTCCAGCGTTGATAAGAGAGAAGACCTTGAAGCATGTTTTCATTTTTTTTTTCAATTTTTGTCAATGTTTGTACGAACAGAATTACAGAAAGTAATACGCACTTTACTCAATCCGGATGACACCAGCTAGGTCAAAGTTTGACTTTGTCATGTTTGATTTCTAACATATTGCGTAAGAGGAGAAGACCCCTACATCTTTGGATATTACAATTTATAAATGCCACTTACATTTTCACTGCCGGCCTGTTTGATTTATAAGTAGCTACTTGCAGTTCTTTGTAGGCAACTTGTTTGTTTTATATTCTGCATTTCTATGCTATACAACCGTTCAAATGATAAAAACTAGATCAGCGTTTGAGATAAATAGGATGAATGGATGAAAGTCAACTTCCGTGGTTGGTGTTTCTTATTTTTCATATTTTCAAGTTGTTTTTTAGAGACGTGGTGGCCTATTCACGAAGATGCTCACCATCACCGGTGATTATTACTAGAGTAATGTCCGTTTGTCTCCCTAAATTTATCGCTGAATTTTAAAAATATCCTCAAAATCAAATATCGGACGACTTATTACCTCAACTTTTAAAACCGGGTAATTTTCTCCTACTTCTTTCCCCCCTTTATTTCAGCACTCAACCTCCTGTAATTTTCTGTAGAAAAGAAAACGAGAAATTTCACTTTGCATAAGCTAATTTACAGTACATGTCCATGTTCCAGCTACTCGTAGTATTCAGGCTATTCCTGCTCAGATCGTCCCTTCTGTTCAACTGTCTAGCATGAAAGCAGCAACAAAAGGTTTTCACGAAAACAACATCATTGGCCGTGGTGGTTTTGGCATCGTTTATGAGGTCTGTCTGTATTCTGTAGGTCGCCTTCTTTTTACTGAATATCTATCTTTCTGTTAAAAGTCTGTGACATGTAACATTGTAACATCATGTAAGTATGCAATCACCAGGGCATGCTAGACGATGGAACGAAGGTTGCCGTAAAGAGGTTGATCGTACATTCTTCGCTTACCTATGATCAATGTGAAACGGCTTTCATGAGAGAAGTAGAACTGATGTCAAAACTAAGGCATGGGAATCTTATTCAGCTCCTTGCTTACTGCAAGGATGGAAATGAGCGTCTACTAGTCTACGAGTACATGCAGAATAAGAGCTTGAGTTTATATATATATATATATATATATATATATATATAACACTACTGTCCTGCAGCTGGCCATAGAATAATTTAGGCACTGTTTGATTCTTTAGGTGCTCCTAAAATTTCTGTCATATTGAATGTTTGACACATGCATGGAGTATTAAATATAGACTAATTACGAAACTAATTGCACAACTTACGACTAATTTACGAGACAAATCTTTTAAGCCTAATTAGTCCATGATTTGACAACGTGGTGCTACAGTAAACATGTGCTAATGACAGATTAATTAGGCTTAAAAAATCGTCTCGTAAATTAGCCTCCATCTATGTAATTGGTTTTGTAATTAATCTATATTTAATGCTCCTTATTAGTATCTAAACATTCGATGTGACATAAATTTTAAGAGCGACTAAAGAACCAAACACACCCTTATTCTGTGGCCACTTTGAGTTACGATAATTACCATGCTAATTTACGAGATTACAGTAACTCCTTACTAAGTGATTTACTATAACATTATCGTAAATATCACCGTGAGTTGTAGTAACACGAGTAAGGCTATTCTGCAGCTGGCCATAGAATAACTTATTCTGTGGCCACTTTGAGTTACGATAGTTACTATGCTAATTTACGACACTACAGTAACTCCTTACTAAGTGATTTACTATTACATTATGGTAAATATTACCGTGAGCTGTAGTAACACGAGTATCGTAAGTGCATATTCATATTATTGTAAATTGATATAAATATTATCGTAAATCAAAGCGGCTATAAGTTATTCTAACCCCCAAACTCCGTGCGTCTCTGAATTGGGAGAGACGGCTGGAAATCATTCGTGGGGTTGCCAAAGGCGTTGCTTATCTCCATGGAGAATGAAGCGAGGAAGTCATTCATAGGGATCTAAAACCATCCAAAATACTTCTGGACGACAATTTCAGGCCGATGATAGCAGATTTTGGTACCGCGAAAACATTCGTTGAAGATCAGACAACTCAAACAAATTTTCAGACACCATATGATTAATTGAACCTTAACCCTTCAGCTGATGTTCTATTAATTTTTTGAAGCAAATTGTTCTATTAATTTGGCTACATCATGTACATGTCTTCCATTTTTCCCCAAAAATTTGAGCTGACGTATTTTTGTTAACCAAATTAAAGGGGGTATACTGCTCCAGAGTACGCAATGCAAGGAAACCTGACACTGAAATGCGATGTCTACAGCTTCGGAGTTGTCATACTGAATATAATAAGTGGCCCAAGAGAAAGAACCAAGCCACCACTCCTGTCCTATGTGAGTATGCACACCGATAGCCAGAAATTCCATATTACTACAGTCTACAGTTCATTTAATTTCTCATGAAGTAGGCATAAGTTTGTAGCTCTTTTGCAGGCCTGGGATTGTTGGAGCCAGCATAAGATCGAGAACCTTCTCGATTCAGCCATGGAAGAGCCTGAGTTTGGGCTTCTACTTGCATTAGAGAAATGCGTTCAGATAGGCCTTCTTTGTGTGCAACAGCTGCCCGATGATAGGCCTACCATGTCTGCAGTGGTGACAATGCTAAACAGTGATGATTCAGAGATCTACCCGCCCAAAATGCCAATGTCTGATGATCACAGAAGCACTGGGTCTCCATCACAGGCTGTGTTCAACGACGGTGGCGTGCAGAGAGACACCGTCGATCTCACTTGACATGCCCTTGCTAAGATAGCCTAGACTAGCACTGAAGCAGCCTGAAACTGGAATATTTTCTTGTCACGTAATCCCATTTTCTTGTTCTTCTTCTTTTGCCCATTTTCTTGTCACGTAATCCCCTTCGTTTTTTAAATCTATCCCTTTCTTTTGGTGTAAGTGTAACCGTTCATGTTCCTTGCTCTAATATACACCCTAATTCGTACACATTTTGTTCCGAGAGTAAGATCTGTAAATTCGTACATGACTCTCACGAGAGAGCCAATTGCCTTTGCTTTTCAGAGCAACAAGAGGGAAAAGCGCTCCAGTTTCTAGGCTGTTTGAAAGATGGGCCGTCGAATTCAGGCCCAGTACATAGGCTTCGCAAGGTCTCTCAGCCCATATTATTATTTGGGCCTCAACGGGTTGGCTGAACTTCCGAGACCGAACCGGCCCAACTCTGATTTTCAGCCGAAGTTCGTGGCTGAAAATCTCTCTGTCGACAGTCGATTCCATCAGCCTCCTCCCAATGGACAGGTAGTCGTCATCAGCCACCGCCTTGGGTCAACGCCGGCTGCTCTCTCCCCGTGCTTCATAGCAAAAGAGGCGACGACACCGACGCCGTCGCCATGGTCCACACCACCAGTCAGCGTCCCTTTCTTGCCAAGATAGAAGTTTCTTCTTCCATTCACCGGTGCCCCTGCCTTGCTGCTCGACGCAGGCGTCATTTTCCAACCGTCGCTGTACCATGACCTGGCCTGTTTGAGAATCACTCAAGCTTCGACGAATCGTTGGAGGAAGGGTACTGATGAAGTGATGAGCGAGCTCGGCAAGGTCAAGTTCAGGTTTAATTAAAGTTCTTTCGGGGCTGGGTTCGCTCGGTAATTAAAGTTCTCTGTCTTAGTGCAAAACATGTCAAGGCATACTAGTAGTTGCGACATAAAGTTTTTTTTTTTGCGAAAAAAAAGTTTAATTGAAGTGCTTGCTGTTTCACTCTAGAGTGATGCAGTAACTGCAAAGGGGTTGTGCATGTCTTGCCGATCGATGAGACACAAAAGTCAGCAGTCAAACTACCGGGGAAGAAAGATGGCACTACAAAATCCTACGCTCATATTCGTTTGATTTCATCAGATTTTGACTCTGTTGCGCTGTCATGAGGTAATAATAATAAGTATACGTCGTCCTCGTCTTGCATGTTCACGAGGGTGGAGGGCTTTGTAGCCGTCCAAGCTGAGCTATTTCGGCCACCTGCCACCATCAGTTTTCAGTTCAGACTAGAGAACAATGGAGAAGGCCCGGACCGGACAGTGAAGATGCAGCTAACCCAGTATGGTACGTACTCTGGTTGAATTGGTTGTGCATGCATACCGTACAGGACTAGTGGATGTGACTTTCCTTTATGTGCATATACCAGTTGCAAAGCATTAGTCACGTATCATCCATGAGCTAAGCACTCTACTAGCACTCTTTGCGCATCTTGTAGCTTAACCGTGCATGGACTAAGTCGATTTTGTATTGCCACCACTTGTATGCATCGCGAAATTTTGATAATGGAGTTTCTCTTTTACAGGAGAGGACTATAGGCTTAATTAGATTGTCATCATTAGAAAAAAAAAATAGTAGAAATGTTTGGAGTACATATATAAATAATTCCTAGGTAACATTTGTGCTTAATGTTAAAGTTTCTTCCAAAATTTTGCATCAACAACAAGACATGTATGATGGTATATGATGCTTATTAATTGAAATATGCATATATAATGCTTGTGGATTATATGACACTAGGGGTCCCATTCATATTGAAATATTTTACATGAATTCAGAATTCTACAAGGGCCCCATTTTCAAATCTAAACCCTACAATTTCATAAAAATCTGACGAAAAGCTATCTAAATTAAATTTTAAAAAAGAAATATACAAGAGTTAGTTAGAATGATACAACTCTACCTCTACTTTCTTGTTGCAACTCACGTTTCGTGATGTCATGATTCTAGCTAGAATGATCCAAAGGAAATACTCCTATGAATGAAGCATTATCAATGATTCTAGCTAAATTGAACTTTTTATCCTCATGTTAATCTAAAATTCAGAGTCTCCTTTTGTATTTTATTAAAAATAAAGATTTATGGTCTTATACAGTTCAAATTTGATTGTGTAGTTTGAAGTGAGATCTAGGATATGCCAACATGCTAACGTCAAGAGATGTAATATTTTGTACCTAACCAACGTTGCTTACTAATACTATAAAGAATTTTATAAATTTATTAGTGGAGCTTCACCATAACATTTTAATGGAAATATATAGACTTTATCTAGGGTAATAACTTCCATATATTATTGTCATAAATCTTAATATAATTTTAGATAAATTGTTGGTATCATTGATACGTGTCATGAAGAGAACATTCTTCATAATAGCTAAAACATACATATATAACTTTATCGCTCATTTATTCATGTATATTTGATATGCAGGATGGCACAATATGTATGTTTACTATAGGTTAGCATTTTCTATTAACAGTGATCGAAGTAGATAGCTTAAAAACATATGTAGGCATAATTTATGGTTATTTAAACATTTTTGTTAATAGCATTTACGGATAATGCAAACTGTCCATGTTGTCAACTTGCTCTCTATATTTTGGAACCAAATAAGGAAAAAGCTAAACTACCTAGTATATTTGAGGATTAATAAACAATAATAAAGAGGGGGAGGGGATCAGATTAAATTAAAATAAGAGATACGATTAAGTGCGACCTTGTAAATTTGGGCGGGCTGTTAAAAATTGTCTAATACAGACACTATCAGTGCCAGTTCATTTTTAAAAAAAAATAAATTGAACACATTAGGGCCACGAATAATTTTAATACGAATTTCGTGCAAAATATATGCAACCAATGAAAAGCACCAACATTGTGAGCGATATATAACGCTGTCCAGTGAGATCAGCAGCTTTATTGCACAAAGGGGATCAGAGATTCTAGCATCATCTATCATGGAGTCACCAGCCAGCAGATTTCTCAATCTTTCCGCCATGATTTTCCCCGTGCTCTTGCTTTTTCTCAGAGCGTCGGTGGCAGGCATCGCATCTGACACGCTCAACAACGGTGGCAACATCACCGACGGCGAGACGTTGGTCTCATCCGGCAGCTCCTTCACCCTGGGCTTCTTCTCCCCGGCCGGCGTGCCAGCCAAGAGATACCTTGGCATCTGGTTCACGGCGTCCCCGGATGCCGTCTGTTGGGTGGCCAACCGTGACACCCCCATCAGCAACACCTCAGGAGTAGGAGTACTGGTGGTCGGCAGCACCGGGAGCCTTCGCCTTCTCGACGGATCTGGCCAGACCGCGTGGTCGTCCAACACGACGAGTTCCGCTCCCGCCGTGGCGCAGCTGCTTGAGTCCGGCAACCTCGTCGTGCGCGAGCAGAGCAGCGAGAAAATGCTCTGGCAGTCGTTCGATCACCCGTCGAACACCTTGCTCGCCGGCATGAGACTCGGCAAGGACCCGCAGACCGGCGCGGAGTGGTTCCTCACGTCGTGGCGCGCGCCGAACGACCCGACGACCGGGGACTGCCGGCGTGTGATGGACACCAGGGGCCTCCCGGACTGCGTCTCCTGGCAAGGCAACACCAAGCAGTACCGAACGGGCCCCTGGAACGGGCTGTGGTTCAGCGGCGTCCCGGAGATGGCGTCGTACTCGGAGCTGTTCTCCAACCAGGTCGTCGTCCGCCCCGACGAGATCGCGTACATCTTCAACACCACGGCCGACGCGCCCTTCTCCCGCCTCGTGCTGGAACGAGGTCGGCGTGATGCACCGGCTGGCATGGGACCCCGCCAGCCGGGTGTGGAACACCTTCGCTCAGGCGCCGAGGGACGTCTGCGACGACTACGCCATGTGCGGTGCGTTCGGCCTGTGCGACGTGAACACGGCGTCCACGCTGTTCTGCAGCTGCGTCGTGGGCTTCAGCCCCGTCAACCCCTCGCAGTGGTCCATGAGGGAGTCCGGAGGTGGATGCCGGAGGAACGTGCCGCTGGAGTGCGGCAACGGGACGACGACGGACGGGTTCAGGGTGGTGCGGGGAGTGAAACTCCCCGACACTGACAACACGACGGTGGACATGGGCGCGACGCTGGAGCAGTGCAGGGCGAGGTGTCTCGCCAACTGCTCGTGCGTGGCCTATGCCGCCGCCGACATCCGAGGAGGCGGTGATGGCACTGGCTGCGTCATGTGGAAGGATAACATTGTTGATGTCCGGTACGTAGACAAGGGGCAGGATCTCTACCTGAGGTTGGCCAAGTCTGAATTAGGTAAGTTCCAATTACCCAGTTCTCAATTGCATATACTTTTCTCTCGCAAATGAGAAAGAAGCAAAGTCTCACCGTCCGTTACATTCGGCGTTTACAAAAAAGATCATCTATTCACTTCGAGTAACATATTTGTGCAGCTAACAGGAAGAGAACGGATGTGGTAAAAATCGTGCTTCCGGTTACGGCATCTCTGCTTGCACTTGTGGCTGTTGCCCTGTACCTTGTTTGGATATGCAAACTGAGAGGTAGAGCCACTTCACTACTCAGAATGATTCAGAATGTGGTATCCCTGCAGAATTACTCTAACAGGTACTAGCAAAGGATACATACTGATCGATATTTCTGTTAGGCCGACGTCGAAACAAGGATGTCCAGAAGAAAGCGATGGTTGGATACTTGACCACGTCACATGAACTTGGTGATGAAAATCTAGAACTTCCATTTGTTAGCTTTGAAGATATTGTTACTGCAACAGATAACTTCTCTGAAGACAATATGCTTGGTCAAGGTGGATTTGGGAAGGTTTACAAGGTAACAAAAAAAATATTGTGAACAATAGTAGTATGAAATTTTAGGCACTCCCTTTTTCAATTTACTAATGGTGAAATCGTGCAGGGTATGCTGGGCGAGAAGAAAGAAGTTGCAATCAAAAGGCTCGGTCAGGGTTCTGGGCAAGGTGCAGACGAATTCAGAAATGAAGTAGTTCTTATTGCTAAATTGCAGCACAGAAACCTCGTCAGACTTCTTGGTTGGTGCATTTGGGGAGATGAGAAATTGCTGGTTTACGAATATTTGCCAAACAAAAGCTTGGATTCCTTCATTTTTGGTATGTTGAAACTTTTTTATTTTTTATATAAAAGGAGAGAGTAGCCATAGTTACCATGGAATTTACTTATAATATACCATTGTAGATGCTGCAAGAAAAAAGCTCCTTGATTGGCCAACAAGGTTCAAGATAATAAAAGGAATATCTAGAGGGCTTCTTTACCTCCACCAGGATTCAAGGTTGACGATAGTTCACAGAGATCTCAAACCAAGCAACATATTGTTGGATGCGGATATGAGCCCTAAGATATCAGATTTTGGTATGGCAAGAATCTTTGGAGGAAACCAACATGAAGCAAATACTAATCGAGTTGTTGGGACATAGTGAGTAGTTCAAGCCTCAGATTTTAAAATAACTCGTTGCCTGCACTTAATAAGCTTGTTACTTACTGCTAACAATCCTTAAACAGTGGTTACATGTCTCCTGAATATGCTATGGATGGCGCCTTTTCTGTCAAGTCTGATACATACAGCTTTGGTGTCATACTCTTGGAGATTATAAGTGGTCTGAAGATTAGTTTAACCCACATCGCAGATTTCCCAAATCTATTAGCTTATGTAAGTATGGTGGCATGCTTGAAATTTTTACAATGCATCAAAAAAATACTTATTAATGTTCTATGAAATTGATTCAATTGGTTCAGGCATGGAGCTTATGGAACGAAGGAAAGGCAATGGATTTGGTGGACTCATCCCTTGTCAAGAGTTGTTTACCAAATGAAGCCTTCAGGTGTATCCAAATAGGACTCTTGTGTGTGCAAGACAATCCAAATAGCAGGCCACTCATGTCATCTGTGGTGTTCATGTTGGAGAATGAAACTACAGCACTTTCAGTTCCAAAACAGCCTGTATTTTTTTCACAAAGGTATTCTGAAGCCCAGGAAACAGGAGAAAACACTAGTAGCTCTACGAATAACATGAGCATGACAGTGTTATTAGAGGGACGCTAGATGGTTAGGTTATGCAAGGTTTGTATGTGTACATAATTTCCTGTAGCAGATCTGTAATACATTAGTAGTTTGCATACTTCTCTTATTTTTTTTTATTGCGAAGATACTTCTTTTTTATATTTGGCAATTTTTTTAATAACTATACTAGTTTTTGTTGCGTCTCTCTTATTGTGTGAAACTGTAGATATTAGAATATAATTAAGTTATCATTCTCAAATATTGTCCGGTAGTGACACTGTTCGTCTGAATTTGAGGTGAGGTACAATCGCGACCATGAAATTGGATGGCTTTCGCGCCGCCGGCAATGGGTTGGCTATTGGTGGAAAGGCCTAGAACCATGCATTACGGCCTTATGGGCTTCAAGTTCTCATTTGACAGACACACGGGTGCCGCGGCCAGTGTTTGTCTGGTGGGCTTCGGCGGGATGGGCTGAACACTGAAGTCTGAACTCCCCACTTGCAATCTGTTCCCACCACGATTATTATCTGGCATTTGGAAAACTTTATTCTGCCTCTCCAAAAATTATTGCCATGGTCTGATTTTTCACCTTGAACTTAAAATTAGACATCTCACCTGCTGAACTTTAAACCATTTAACTTATCTCTTTGCCCTGGTTTACATTTTAAGGTGATTTTATACTTTTTTGTTTTTTTTCTAATATACGCAGGAGAGTTGTAACATTCTATTAAGAAGAAGAGTTGTAAAGTACAACAAGCACACCCAGTATGTTCGCTTGATCGTTTCTGTGACTGATAAGTCGGTTGATGCTGTTTTGTTGTGAGAGTTGTATCATGGCTGATAAACATGACGATACGATCAAACGAACAGAGCAACCATACACACCCCTTAACTTTCAATTGCATTCGCGCTTGTCAAAATAAACAATCCTTTTTAGTTTTAAAAGTAAATATTTGATAAGGCCACGGAAAATGTCTCTAATCTTTTTTAAAAATTTGAAAAAAATCTAGAGATAGATTATGATACGACAAATCAAAATAGGGTATTTAGAGGTCGTGAAAACATCTTTAGAACTTTTGAAAAACATTTTAGCTCTAGAAAAAATATCTAGAAAATATATAAAAATTTTAAAACATTCTACTCAATATACAAAAGTGTTTTAAAAAGAGCATGTATACTTTGCAAAAAGAAGCAAGAGATAACTCTCTATCAATGGAGCGAGTGAGTGTGACAAAACTTAGAGGCGAAACTACTCAGTACTAGGGGACGCAAATGCACCCTATCAACTTTTTTAAATGATTAAATACTAAAATTCACCATATATGTATCTTTATGACGTCTATGCATCCACAAAGCAAGTACATCTCTCCAATTCGTTTTAGCGCCAATGACAATACTAAAGGCTGCTAGGTTTTTTTGAACCATCGTTTTTTTACTAGACTTTTTGCAATCTCAGTTACATGCATTTCGTTTCCAAAGATGTTCAGAAGAGGGTTGCTTTATTCTAAATCTTCCAATCCAAACTGGCCAAGGCAGCCGGGCTTCATTTTCGCTTGGCGCGACGAAACACTGTGACTGTGGGCATCAGTTTTTCTTTACACGTGCAGCATAGTTCAACGCATGCGGGGGTGCTGCCACGTAGCAAGAGTGTTTGCTCATCATTGCTTTGGTCAAGAATCAAGATCCTTCCTCCTTGGCTCCTTCGTGTCTTAATCCACCAAGTCATAATGTGGACTAATCTTGGTCATTGGCTTGGTCAATTTTATTCTGAAATACATTGGCATCTTGTGACATAGAGATAGATTAGCCCAGGAAATTTTTTGGTCCGTCTATCCCCTGCATGCCACGTAGCCGCAGTTTTTCTTTACACGTGCAGCATAGTTCAGCGCATGCGGGGGTGCTGCCACGTAGCAAGAGTGTTTGCTCATCATTGCTTTGGTCAAGAATCAAGATCCTTCCTCCTTGGCTCCTTCGTGTCTTAATCCACCAAGTCATAATGTGGACTAATCTTGGTCATTGGCTTGGTCAATTTTATTCTGAAATACATACTTTGGCATCTTGTGACATAGAGATAGATTAGCCCAGGAAATTTTGTGATCCGTCTATCCCCTGCATGCCACGTAGCCTCCTTTTCTTTTCTTCTAACAATAAAAAACCTTGTTCTACTTATGTTCTATGAAATACCGGGCAATGTCAACCACCTATTGTTAAATATTTTAGACCATCACACGGCATTGACGTTTTGCATTTTCATCAAATTTGTCAGACTATTGGTTCACTCCCGGTTATGGCTCCACCAGGCCATGTCCACGTGCCACAACCTGATCTATATCTTGATGCCATTTTCGTCGCCCCTGACTCGTCAGCGAAGAACAGAGAAGGCAGAATGGGCACGACCTGCCTTACCATTTTCATGCTCCTGCTTCTCCTGATGATTTGTGTCTGCAAATCCGATGACCAGTTGACAAGCGGAAGGTCACTGACCCCCGGCGACCTGCTCATCTCCAAAGGCGGCGTCTTTGCGCTCGGCTTCTTCTCCCCGTCCCCGGCCGGCTCCAGCACGAGCCTGTACGTTGCGATCTGGTTCCACGGCATCCCTGAGCACAACCGCACCGTCGTGTGGGTCGCCAACCGCGACAGCCCAGCCACCACCTCTTCGTCCCCGACGCTCGCCATCAGCAACAACTCTGACCTCGTGCTGTCGGACTCCCAAGGCCACACTCTCTGGAGGACGCAGAACGCCATCGCCGCCGCCGTCCACGACAACGGCACTGCCCTCGCCGTGCTGCTCGACACGGGGAACCTGGTACTCCAGCTGCCCAACGGCACGGTCATCTGGCAGAGCTTCGATCACCCGACTGATACCATTCTCCCAGGCATGAGGTTCCTGATGATCCACAGGGCTCGCCCCGCCGGGCGCCTGGTCTCTTGGAGAGGCCCCGCCGACCCGTCCACCGGAGACTTCTCGTTCGGCCTCGACCCCGTCTCCAACCTCCAGCTGATGATCTGGCACGGAGCCGACCCGTACTGCCGCATCAGCGTGTGGAACGGCGTGTCGGTGTCCGGCGGCATGTACACGAGCTCCCCTAGCTCGATGGTGTACCAGACCATCGTCAACACCGGCGACGACTTCTACCTTGTGTACACCGTCTCCGACAGCTCGCCGTACTTCCGGATCATGCTCGACCACACCGGCACGATGAAGCTCCTGAGCTGGGACACCAACTCGTCGGCGTGGACGGTCATCTCCGAGCGCCCCACCGGCGGCTACGGCCTGTACGGCTCGTGTGGCCCCAACGGCTACTGCGACTTCACCGGGGCTGCCCCGGCATGCCAGTGCCTCGAGGGCTTTGAGCCCGTCGCCGTCGGGATGAACTCTTCAAAAGGATGCCGGAGAATGGAGCCTCTGCGGTGCAGCAAGGGAAGCCACTTCGTGGCCTTGCCCGGGATGAGAGTTCCTGACAAGTTTGTGCTCCTCCGGAACAGAAGCTTTGAGCAGTGCGCGGCCGAGTGCAGCAGTAACTGCTCCTGCACCGCCTATGCTTACGCCAACTTGAGCAGCAGCGGTGCCATGGCCGACCAGTCAAGGTGCTTGGTTTGGAATGGGGAGCTTGTCGACACATGGAAAAACATCAACTATGGCGAGAAGCTGTACCTCCGGCTTGCCAGCCCTCCTGGTACGCACCGTTTCATCATGTGCTGTTTACATTTGTTGATCAGAGGATCAGTTTCTCCAATGTTGTCATTGATTTGATACTCATCTAGCAATGAAGCAGAAGATAGGCCATAATGAGAAATTTTCACTCAAAATAGATTTTCACTAATCTGATTTGAAGAACACAAACATTTTAAGTCTAATAAAACTGAATGACAATAGAGCATCTCCAGTAGATCAGCATTAGAACTGCCCAATAGGGTGATAATGGGGCTCTGTTTTCCTACTTCGATCGGCTCTGTTTCCTTCCACCAGAATGAAATGGCTTTGGAAAAAAACAAACAACAAAAGATATAGTAGCTCTTCTGGTTAATTAATTACTCAGTACATTCTAACAAGTTTTACTTTGGCAGCTAAAACCAAGACCAATATAGTAAAGATTGTAGTCCCGGTTGTAGCATGCCTGCTGCTACCCACATGCATAGCCCTTGTCTGCCTATGCAAATTCAAAGGTACAACAATAAGTGCCTTGTTTCAACATGTAATGTTATTACTGTACAAGTTTTAAGAAAAAGGTATCAATGTCCCACTCCCAACCAGCAGGGAAATGGCAAAAAAGGGAGATTCAGAAGAAACTGATGCTAAGATACTTGAGCACCTCAAATGAACTTGGAGACAAAAATGAAGAATTTCCATTTGTTAGCTTCGATGACATTGTTGCCACAACTGACAATTTCTCTGACTGCAATATGCTTGGAAGAGGAGGCTTTGGCAAAGTTTACAAGGTAATGGCAGATTTTCACATTAAAAGTTATAGGATAATATGCGTTAAAACAATCATTAAAACAGAAGAAAGAATTGTACTTTTCATCATTTTCCAATTCAGAAGAATGCAATCATGCAGGGAATGTTGAAAGGAGGGAAGGAAGTTGCTGTCAAAAGGCTTAGTCAAGGTTCTGGGCAGGGTATTGATGAATTCAGAAACGAGGTAGTTCTACTTGTCAAACTACAGCACAGGAACCTAGTTAGACTACTTGGTTGCTGTATTCATGAAGAAGAGAAGTTACTGATCTATGAATACTTGCCTAACAAAAGCCTGGATGCCTTCCTGTTTGGTACGCACTGACTCTATTGCATATTGCAGTTCTTACATTGATCAAAAGGATACTGCTGATGACTAACAATAGGTTTTGTTAAATACTACTTGTTGGCAGACACTTCAAGAAAGCATGTGCTTGATTGGCCAACACGGTTCAACATAATCAAAGGCATAGCCAGAGGGCTTCTATATCTCCACCAAGATTCAAGATTAACAATAATTCATAGAGATCTTAAAGCAAGTAACATCTTGTTAGACACAGAAATGAGTCCCAAAATATCGGATTTCGGTATGGCAAGAATCTTTGGGGGAAGCCAGCAACTAGCAAACACTACCCGTGTTGTTGGGACATAGTGAGTAATTCATTTACTAGTCAATGCTAAATAATGCAACTATAATAGTTTAGTCTAACTCAAATTCTTCCGTTGTTGAATTTGTTTAAACAGTGGTTACATGTCTCCTGAATATGTGACAAGTGGTGCCTTTTCTGTTAAGTCAGACACATATAGCTTTGGCGTTCTTCTCTTGGAGATTGTAAGTGGTTTGAAGATAATCTCAACTCAGCTCATAATGGACTTCCCAAACCTTATAGCTTATGTAAGTAGTGTGGAATACTATAGTTTTCAATAAACATAAACAAAAAAATATTTATTTGATAGAAAAAAATATTTACATTTTTTCTAGACATGGAAGTCATGGGAAGAGGGAAATGCGACGAAATTGGTGGACTCATCGGTTGCTGAAAGTTATCCACTCCATGAAGTTTTGAGGTGTATTCATGTAGGACTTTTGTGTGTCCAAGACAATCCAAATGCAAGGCCACTCATGTCATCAGTTGTGTTTTTGTTAGAGAATGAAACCACATTGCTTCCAGCACCAAAGGAGCCTGTATATTTTTTACCAAGGAATAGTGAAACTGAAGAAACAAGGAGAAACATAGAAGGTTTTCTGAATACATCGTGTATCACGACACTAGAGGGCCGCTAGATGTTCACACCAACTTTTACTATATAAATGTTCAAGTCTTTGACTAACTGTGTAGGTCTGTAGGGTACTAGGGTTAAGTGAATTTCAGCAGCATAGCTGGTCGTAATATATGTGAACTTACAGTCTCCCAAAGAGATATATATGAGCTTACTGTACTGAACACACTGAATTGAAGCTTGCAGCTTGGAAAAAAAATGCAGATAATATACAGGGATTTGAGAATTATATGGTCAAGTGTCATAACAAAGAATGCAATCAAATTTCACATGGCATTGCTTTAATCTTCAGTTGCTCTAATGCCAAAAGGTGAAGGCTGCCTAATATTTTCAGTGCTGTACCTCATATGGATTATTCATAGAATTCTTCAGCTGTTATATTTATTTTTCCATAAAGCTAGTAAACTTGTGTTTTTTTTTCCCCATTGGGCCGGTGGTCATTGCAGACTAGAAAACAACCAAAATTCAGACGAATAAACTGTAGCAAGTTCAGAGTTGTTTTCAGCATTGTGTCACATACCTCATATGTGGGGTTTTATTCAAGTTTTTCGAAACGTGCTATTTGCATAAGATGAGCAAACAGTAAGTACACTATGGCTTGCAGCTAGTAACCGGCAAATAATTTGCTTGGCCAGGTTTACCAGGCCAGGCAATTAGATGTTTATCTCCAACACTAGCTGCAACTGCAAGTGAAGTTCAGGTTATTCAGCAAATCGCCAATGACAGGCAGAGCTCACACATTCGGTGGTTAGTCCGAGATTCTGTGTTACTGATTGACACTGCAAAAGCTCCGGATCATTAATTCCTCTGAATGTGTAGCACGCCACAGCATGCAGCTGTGTTCGCTGCAGCTTCTTGCAGCTGTTGCCCTACTACTACTACAGTACCCACAGAGAGTAAATTACAGCCACAGCATGCAGCTGCAGCTGCAGCAATGGCAGATGAAACCCCACGGGCCACGGCGGGAGCAGAGACCCCGAGTACAGTAGTGCAGTACCTGGCGAAAACGGCGGCCATGGGACACGGGTGCCGAACTGCGGCGGCGCGAGGCGTCAAGGACCCGTGGAGCCGTACTACTACGATGGGAAGAAGAGCGGAGTGGTTACGGCTCCTCCGCCTCAGCTCTCAGCCTCCGCAGTCCGCACTTCGCCGTTTCGCCCCCGACCACAGGCCACAGGCTCCGCAACGGTGCCTCGTCGGCAGTCGGCACAATGGCACCGGCGGGCGCCGCTGAAGTCTTCGGAAGGACACCCAATTAGATGGGCCTAGGACCTCCTCCTCTTTTGAAGCGGCCCAGTCGATCGGGAACTACAGCCCACTAGGCAGGCCTTGGACCTTACAGCCCACCTCTCCCGTGATGCCCATTCGACAGGACACACATCAGTTCCTCAAAAAGAAAAGGAAAGAAAAGAAAAAGACACGACACACATCGATCTGGCATGGCACGTGCTTGGAATTGGAACACGGCCAGCTCCCTCTACCTCGGCGTTGCAACTTGCAAGTTGGAACAGGAAGAATTCAATCAAAAAATAAAAAGTTGGAACAGGAACACGACGACCGGTGTGCGAAGCTGCGATTATTGGAGTACAGTCAACCATCATATCGTGGAGTGCAGTACACGCGGGACTATATCTGATGAGCTCGCAATGAAGGGGTGGATCAGACGCTGCACCTGCACCTACGAGCACGTTGTGTGTGTCAACATCTGGAGTGGAGGCCCCAATATTGAAACATAACACTCTCTCGACCCGGATAATAAGCATACCCCCAACGCTAAAAGAAGTCGTTTTAGATAGTGACCCAATCTTTTAAAGCATAACTTTGACTTCTGATTTTATAAAAATATTTATTAAAAAGTGATATACATATATTTTTATGAATGTTTTTGTCAAGACAAATCTATTCATATAGTTTTACATTTTCAAACTCAATAACTTAAAAGTTATTCATGATTTATATTTTAATATTTCATCCAATCCTTATCCAAAACGACTTTTTTAGCAACAAGGAGAGAGTACAATTTTAGACAGGGGACTCGGAAGTGTGTCCCAAAAAAGATCCATTTTGTGGCTGAAGAAAGGAGAAAGAGAGGAGGGAGGAACAAGAAAGCATTGAGGATAATAAAGGTATTTTCACGTGCTGCTCTGTTTGGGACCGTCTTTCTTTCACGCCGATGTGCTGATGTGTCACATCACATCAGAAAAAATAGCAAGAATTCATGTCATGTTCGCTTGAACTTATCAGCCCGGCTTATTAGCCATGATATTATGTTTTTTCTCTCACAACAAAACAGTATCGGCAGGCTTATCAGACGCAGAGACCATCAACCGAAAAGCCGGTGACAAAGTTATAGTTACCTGCGTAAAACGGACAATTGGACAAGTGACAAATAGTTAAATATCCCATCGGAGGAAATGGAGAGAAGTAAGAGAAAAAAAAATACTTGAATCAAAAGTAATGTGTTCGCAAAGTGCCAACTGCCAAGCACGCGAATTATAGTAGGGTGTACGAAAGGCGCGCGGATGAGAGTCAATAATGCGTCAACGCCGTGGGGGATACAGCCGTAGAGAAGGGACCGTCACGTCGTCACCCGGCCCATGTAGCGTCATGCATGTCAGCTTGCAGCAATTAACCGGCCGGGGAGGCAGGGAGCGCGCAGGTGAGGATTAATGCTCAGCAGTGGGCCACAGTCAGGTTGAAGCCCTTCAGCCATGCGGGCCACCGCAACAAGCGATTCACTCATTGACTTGACTTGACGCGCTGCATGCGTTAATTTTTTTTTTTTAAAAAATCTCCTGCCATGCCAACGGAGACGAATCGGCTCGCTCACTCAAGCGAGAAAAGCGCTGGAAATCGCGGGTAGTTAAGGCGACTTGTTGCATAAACCAAACACATTTTCCACTCCGCATCTTTTTTTCTGAAACACAAACGGTGCGAGATTGTGACAGTTTTTCATTGACAGAGAAGAGAAGCCCTAGTTTTTTTTTTACAATAACTCGTAATATATTAACGCAACAGACCGGTTACAACGAGGCAGTCATGTTAAGCTTCACCGAACCTCATTAGCAAATATCGTGTCTTTGGTGTCTTTTTTTTTCTTAAATACATACGAGTGTGCATATCATTGTATTAGAAGAAGAAAATTTTATAATACAAGAGTGCTGTTTCCGGCCATTAGTTTTTTCTTTAACGCGCTACATTTTGAAGGCAACAGACCCTGATCTTGTTTGATCCCCTCGTGTGCTATGGTTGTGCCAGAGCTCATAGGCCACCCGCGCCCGCCTGAATCCATTGATCCGCCTCAGCCTTGATTATCTGCAGGAGGTCGCTGATGGGCATCGAGGCTTCGCGGAAGCATCTTGCATTGTGCTCCTTCCACAGTTGCGAAGAGACGAGCGCGAAGAGGGAGTCCAGGCCGTCGCGTCGGTCACCGTTGAAGAGGGACCGCAGTCTCCGCCACCAGCTTATCGTCGTTGCCGCTGCGTGTGGTAGCTGTTGACCGAGAGCCCGGAGGACGTAGAACCAAACTTCTCTGGAGAATGGGCAGGCCACAATGATCGATAGTTTCCTGGCCTTGATCACAGAGGTAGCAAAGTTCCCTAGCTTCAAGACCATGCCTGGTCCTTCTGTCCCAGGTCCAATGTCTGCGTTTGAATGCTAGCCAAAGGAAAATCTTGATTCGCAATGGAGCCCATGTCTTCCAAATCAGCTTGTGACCAAGAAGGGGGGTTGATCCGGCGTGTAGCATGTTATATGCGGATTTGGCCGAGTAAGTGCCATCTGCAGTCCAGCGCCAGATCGTTTTATCAGGCTGACCAGTGAGTTGGGTGCTGTCTACTGCGTCCCATAGGTAGGTGTCTTTGGTGTCATACATGATCTTGCATGTTTGTTTTGATAGATTCAATAAACACTTCCGCATGTGAAAATTAATTAACATACAACTTGCCGTTCCGGGGGCTAATTTCTAACAGCATATTCGCTATATGTTCTCTAGTTGGATAATCCTGACCTAGCTAGTTATACGGAGCAAAATACTATTAGAAT